AATTATGCTATGTATAAGCTTGTAGCATGTTCCTGGAAGCCTGTGCCGAGTTTACCCATTAGGTATATTATCCAACAAGGTTGTAGTTGAACTCCAGCGCAATATCATTCCACATGTTCGTTCTACAATCATCTTGGAAGTCAGTTAATAACATAATCTATGCTATGGGGGCTTCTTAGCAAGTATTTCATTTACAGCCACGTCGCCACCACTATCATCCACGTTGCTGCCAGGCTGGAACGAAGCTCCTGGCCATATGCTTGCTATGCTGTTACGACCTTTATGTATATATAGGGAAGATACTGAGCCTCGTACATCAGCTTCAGTCTAGCACCCAAAGAGGAAACCTCAAGAAAACTATGAAATGTTCTTCATTGCTTGATTGTTGGTTGTTTTCTGCTTTGAAAGTGAATGAGGACGGGTGAGCATGGCACAGTCTCTATAAGCGTGACGAGAGAACGCCTTACGCCTGGTAGGCATGTCACTGGAGTGTGGTGAGAAAGTATCCCGGTCTGACTGGTAACCGCGAGATCATGGTGGGAACACTTTTCGCGCAGCCAGATCTTGGCCATGAGCGTAGAAAGATCTTGTAGTAAGCGCTTGGTGTGGTCGTTGCAGGCGCATGATGGGCACGTGGCGTAAGCACCACGCTGCCGCTATGCTCTTTTTGCCTTCATGCCAGGAATAGGCTTTACTTTCCCAGGAAAATCGATGATAAATAAATGATAAATGAACATACGAACATTTTACGTAGTTGTATATGACAGAAATCGAATCTGCCTCCCCGAAAACATATATATTGTCACCAAAGACAACTACTTAATCGAAATCAACCCATCGTCCGATTTTCCCGCCACAAGTGGCAGCAATATTGGAAATATACTAAATATGTAAACATGTGATCATTTTACAAGGTCGTAAATGTCAGAAATTGATTCTGCGTCCCCGTAAACATATATATTGACACCAAACACGACCACTTAATCAAAATCTGCACATCGTCTCATTTTCCCGCCAAAAATGCCCGCCATCTTGGTAATATGCTAAATATATGAACATGTGATCATTTTACAAGGTTGTTAATGTCAGGAATGTAATTTGTGACCCCGAAAACATATATATTGACACCAAACACTACTACTTAATCGAAATCAGCACATCGACCGATTATCCCGCTAAAAATGGGCGCCATCTTGGAAATATCATCATGAAATGATGGAAAACAATCTGAGATATAGTCATGAATGCTGCCAATATTAATACATTGCCAAATCACAGTTGATATGTCGATAACATTATAAATAAGGTGAAAATAAAAAAATAATTTGGAATATTATCGCAAAATGGCTACCCTCAAATAATGGCCTCCCATACTGTGAAGACCTACTCAAAAAAAATGTCAACATTGATTTTTTGTAATCAAACATCAAAACCTACAAAATAAAGCTTATTCCACGATTTCTACCTGAAAAGCCGACGGATTTACATTAACGATCGGACTATCTGTATAAGAAATTGGCTATATACCAGAATTTATCCACCACTTACAGTGTCCGTATGACATTATAGAATAAAGATTATTTATATTGATCAAGACCAGGGTTCCCAACCTCCGGTTAGCGACCTCACCTTGGGAAAAGGAGCACTTTTAGTGGGGTCGTGGCGGACTACTCTGAAACTATTGAATATTGAAAAAATGCTATGTTTTCATAAAAAGTATATTAATCTCTGATCTATGCACCTCTTGTTAAATTGCCAATCGTCTTTCCTCTTTCACGCTCACGATTTGTTTCCTCAGTATCTCATTTCAACATTGTTTCCTCAGTCTCTCATTACAAAAAAAAAAAAAAAAAAAAAAACCCTCCAAGGATTATCAGATAAGGAGGACACTGTTACTGTTGGAAAGCTTTAGTGGTATATCTATTTTCATAGAACATTTCTTTTGCAAATGAACATTGTAAACGGTCTACAGATCGGAAAGATCAAATTAAAAACGCTTTGCGATTGTTGGCCTATTGACTAGGATGTTCTTGGAACTTTTTGTCGACATTTGCCCTTGGCTATTGCCTATGTCACCGAAACCTAACCTTAAAAGCACCCTACGGGACCAACCTTACGCAAGTAAAATACTAACAAATACAGCGCTGGCAGGTGAGCTCAAGTTAATTGGAAGTCCTTAGCAGAGAAATCGTTTACAAACCCCGGTATCAATTGGTGGGTTATCCGGAAAATTATTTGTGAATTTGAAATGCTACAAGCGGCTGCCAGGCAGGATACGCCCACATTTTCGAGAGATGGATAGAGAACAAGCAAAAAAGAAAGTGATTTTTCGTACAATCAAGGGCCATAATTCAGAAAATTACAATTCGATATGCGCAAATATGGAAAGGAACCAAGATCTTTGGGTTATAAACTTACATTTCAAGTTTCAACAAAATCGGATAAAAAAGTGTGACCTCTATAAGGTCCACAACCTTGATATACCATACTTTTTACCTTATTTGAGAACGAGGGGCGGCCATTTTGTCTGTCAGTTTTGGGCTGATTTTCACGAAATTCGAACACAGCCGTCCTTAGGGTGTAACGGTGATATAAAAATACGTTTTTTTTTTAAATCGGATAAAAATTATGACCTCTATAGAGCCCACAAGCTAAAAACGCGATTTTTTGTACAATCAGGGGACATAATTCAGGAAGTTATGGTCCGATATGCGCGAATATCGAAAGGAACCTAGATCTTTGGGTTATAAACTCTCATTTCAAGTTTCAACAAAATCGGATAAAAATCATGATCTCTATAAGGTCCACAACCTTGATATATTTTTACGCTATTTGAGAACGAAGGGCGGCCATTTTGTCTGTCAATTTTAAGCCGATTTTCACGAAATTTGAACTCAGCCGTCCTTAGGGTGTAACGGTGATATAATAATACGTTTTTTTTTCAAATCGGATAAAAATTATGACCTCTATAGGGTCCACAATCTAAAAACGCGATTTTTCGTACAATCAGGGGCTATAATTCAGGAAGTTACGGTCCGATATGCGCGAATATCGAAAGGAACTGAGATCTCTGGGTTATAAGCATAAATTTCAAGTTTAAACCAAATCGGATAAAAATTGTGACCTCTACAGTGTTCACAAGCTAAAAACGTGATTTTTCGTACAATCAGGGGCCATAATCCATGAAGTTACAGTCCGATGCATGCCAATATCGAAAGGAACCGAGATCTTTGGGTGATAAACCTATATTTCAAGTTTCATTGAAATCGGATTAAAATTGTGACCTGTAGACTGTTCACAAACAATTGTGGACGGACGGACGGACGGACAGGGGCGCGACAATATACGTCCACATGAAAATGTGGGCGTATAAAAATGTGAATTGAATATTTTGACTCGTCCTCGGTTTCTAGTTAGTCTTCCAGCACGTTATAGGGGTGGTTGACACGTGTTTGGTCACATGATTAAAAAAACAAAATCGTAACTAACGGAAAGCTTTTATAAAGCAGATTCATTCCATAACTGTATAATGTCTGAAAATTCTCTGGACCTTCAAAACCTTTGAAGATTTAATGTAGTTTGAAGATTTAATGTCGATCACCATGACGCGTTGGTTATACTGCACGTAGGCCTATGGCTATGGTATAATCTTCGTCTTGTTGACCAATACTGACGGCACGGCATAACTGACTATCTGTGGCACATGCTGTCCTTGGACTTCTTGATGCAATAAACATCTTATCTTATGTAAGGAGCACCAGTGTCAGGTTTCGGTTTTATGTGCTTTCCACCAGTTTCCTTTTCCGGATTTCAGCATATGATTTTAGAGCATATCACAGTTTAGCCCATTATTATAGATTTGTGTAACTCACACAAACAATAGAAAGACGAATCAAAAATGAAAATCAATAGGAATCTTCATTTCAGTTTCAAAAGGATATATCGATTATTGCATGTTTTTTATGCTAATGGACGGACAGACAGGGGTAAGACTACGTTAAAATATGACAAAAAATACGACAAAAAAATTAACATTGGTTTCTATATATTGGAAGTGGTTTTTTTTCGAGAGAAGAAGCACTGGCTTACTAAGAAATTTCCTTGTGACTTTTCAGCGTAATCCCCCTTGCTTGTCGTACATGAAAGGGGGCCTCACAAGCAAAAGCATATAGTCATTCGGATTGGGGGGGGGGGGGGAGGAGAGAGAGAGAGAGTTTAACTCGACTCGATACAAAACGGGTCATTTTGGGTCTTTAAATTTTATTTCAATAATTCGCTTGCGTGTAGGGGTCTTTAGCAGTGGGAGGAAACCGGAGGACATGTGTACACATTGGCACGTGGATGTAAAAGTACCCTTGACAGTTGGAATTTGATAGAGTAGCAAAATTTTTCCTACCGCACACTATTTGCCCTTCTTCATAAACCTGTTCTACTCCGACTGGGCTAATCAAGACAGGGGATTGCGTCAACCTTCAGCATTCTCTGCAGGCAATACAAAGGAGGAAAAGGCCAAATCAAGCCAGGATCACTTATAATCTTTGCTAAAATCTTTTAATGCACCACTTTTTATTCCAATTAAATGCAAGCCAGGTGATTATCTACAGTGGATATTTTTATTGTTTGTCTTAATCAAATGTTAAATAATCAAATCGATTACATTTTAACGTGGATTAAGCTGTGAAAAATTGGATATGCTTTGAAAAATGTAGTTGACTATCAGTGGCTTTAAAACCTAATCTGCTGGTAGTTAGAATATATTGAATCTATCTGTGTTCTACTTGCAGACATGATCCTGGATGTTGATTTGTTAAAAATAATCAGTCTTTGAGACTCCAAAGACTTTCAGGTTGTGTCATTTGTTGCAGGTGACAATACTGATCAAAAGTCTTTGTTCTTGTTTAACTGAGAACTTTGATTGAGCAGAGGGAGATGGAGATGGAGATTGTCATCAAAATTATATAATATGGCACAAAACTCTTACAACAAATTAAAAACATATAGTGTTTATCATATAATAATTTATTTCTTTGAAAATAAACCTAAATATTGTCATTGTAGCTAATTTCTTTTACAGTCTATTTCGTAAGTTTATAAATTTCACAATAAATTGCAATCAATATACTGATGAATAGTAGCATGGAATAATGAACCATGAAATAAAAAGTTATTCAAAAATAAACCTGGGAGTGACACATATTTTTCCACTTATAAATTATCTGTCCAGTGACATTACTGACTAATTACTATGCCCATTTACCACTCGCATCTATTAAATATAAGACGGTCTGACTCTGACCCCTACCTAAAATGATTTCCTGATTTTGTCTGTGTTCCTTCTCTTAATACCAACAGTGGCTTATTTAGCAGGGAAATCATTTGGCCTTGACCTCCTACCACCTTTAAATCATTAAATAGTACCAGATAATAAATCAAAATAATATTGCATGCCTCCACCCCCCTATATCATTCCTTTAATATCAATTTATTTAATAACTTTGTCCTGCATATGCCACTGGTTGCCAATAATAAAAAAGAGATTGCTCCTAATAGCATTAATATAGAAATTATTGTTTGTATGTCTCTAGTCACTCTCATCATTCTATCAGCTTTTATCACACATCACAGTTTATTATATACATGTATAGCACTGTTTAAATATAGTCACAACTTGGTTAGCTCCCTTTATTGTCGGATTGTTTATCAACCTGAAAAACATGACATAAAAAAATTATATACCATATATATTTTTGTTTACTGAATAGTTTTTACCAAAATGGCAAACAACAATGAAGAGCCCCCATCCCATAAACAAAACAAAACGGAAAAAAACTCTGCACTAATTGTGACTAAACCCAACAACACTTTATCATATATATAACCAGTAGCGGATTATCAGTGAGGCTGATGAGGCTGCAGCCTCAGGCCCAAAGATTTTGTAAAAAAAAATTTTTTTGACTTGTCTGATACGATTAAAAACGCATAGACAATGAATGTTAGGGGGGTTGGGTTTAGGCCCAACGGGAATCAACATAGGCCCTGACCCGAAATTAATTAGGCCCACGCCATTTTAAATAGGCCCTATTTAAAAACTAAATAGGCCCTCCAGCAACTGCCGCCTCAGGCCTTGGTGGAGCTTAATCCGCCACTGTGTATAACTCATTATTCTTATACAAGATCTACTCCCTCACTACATTTATTCTCTCCATCACAGGGATCATAAAAAGTCATATAGTTTATTTTCTAAAAACAAAAAATCAGTTGACAATTATTAGTACAGTTCTGCTTTACATGTATATCAACTTCCCATCTTTAAGAGCACAAACAAATTCATGTTTTGGAGTCAGTAACTTTTTTTCGTTTCAATTTAATTTTAAAAATTAATAAATAATTATCTACATGTATATTCAAACTGTATGTATTATACTCTTTACTGTAATTAAAAGCAACTGTAGATGTTTCGTATTAATTCATATATTCACAAAATTTGAAACTTTACCTTTACTTTTTTTCCATGTAATAAAAATGGATTCTGGAAATCATGTTGACAATTAGCATACGCCATACCTAAACCTATACCTGCTCCGAAAGCTACTGGCCATGGTCTCCCTAAATAAATGAAACCAATATAAATAGAGGATATTTCTTGCTTAGAGATGAAATAAAATATGTTATTCACGACAAAACGACAAATGTTCTATTTATTTTATGAATTTACAATCATTTTAGGTAAACACAACATGGACTACTGCTAGCCAGTGGAATAACACTTTTATTTCACTGATAAAACGCGGTATTCCACTACTGATCATAAAATAAATTGCTTTATTTAATGTTGGAGAAATAACTGTTATGTGCCTATTTTGATCAAAAATCTTTTACACCATGCTGTCATAATTTTATTTTGCAATAAAGGTTGACAACAACAAGTGTGAGAATTTCCAAGATAACATCATAATTTCATGACACACAAAGCAAGGAAGAAATGTCTGTGTGTGTGTGTGTGAAAAAGCTTTATTTAACATCCACTTCCACCGAAGTGATATCGCTGACAATTACATGTCATATATAGAAAAAATATTTACATAATGTCATAATGATAGCATGAAAAATAACAGGTAAAAAATGTTATAAACTTAGTACATAATTTACATAAATGTCTATGATTATAGATTTAATAATTCATACATGCAGATGAATTGGCTTCCTTTGATCTAAAATCACTCCAATGTATACGAATGAATAAGGGTCAAAATTATAATTATTCATTCAGTTTAGTTTACATTCTTCATCATTCAGTGTGAACTACAAAGTGATGGACTAAGAAAATAACTGCATTCGATGTAGAATTATTTCTTAACTGTCCAGTTTTCATGATGTGATCAAGTAATGCTGTAGGTACTTTCTGGATATGGGTCCATGAAATTGCCACACACTACAATGTATCTCTTTCTATTATACAATTCATGTAGTGCTGCAGTAGTAGCGAATTCTGCAAAATTGACTTAATGGATAAACAACACTTACTTTTAAAGAATACAACTGAAAAGACGATTCCTAAACCAAGACCACTTGCTGTAATGGACAAAAAACAACAATCTTATTTCAGAACATTCAGATATTCTAACAAAACTGTAATTGAGAGGAATTTATTATGCCTAGCACTTCTGAGATCTTGGCCTGAGCTCCTTGTAAACAAATACATTTTGATGTGAGTTGAGTTCATTACACAGTTACATGTTCTTCATTATCAGGCATTAACAAATCAGACTGTATAAAAATTTGTGACAAATCTAGGACGCCATGTACATTGCTCAGGATACACAATTTGGCATATTATTAATGAAATGAAATGAAATGGGGTTTAACGTCCTACTGTTCTGCACCTAACCTGGGCTAATGAAGACGGGCATATGCCATACAGTGTGCTATGAGGGAAATTTTGCCCGGGCAGCGGCGCTACGGCCTACTCTTATATTGAATTGTAACTGCCAAGGGATCTTTTACGTACACGCCAATGTGTACACGGGACCTCAGTTTTTCGTCCCATCCGAACGACTATACAGCTGTCCTTGTCAGGCCCTCCATCCTGCATCATTGACAAGGGGAAACCACGTCGGAAAACCTGAATGAACTTTCTCGGCCAATGCAGGGATCGAACATCCGACCTCCAGGCTAGCGAGTCAGCGTCTTACCCACTTAGCCACGTGATCCCCAAGGCCAAAGACAGTATTAAATATCAATATAAATTATTTTGATAGGAGTTGTAATAATGTATATTGATATTTAATACCGCTCTTTATTAATAAAAGGCCAAATTGTCATTTTTAATTTAAAATAGTAGAGTCTTTTGGAAATCGCCTTTATGACACAAACACGCCTACGCTACGATTTTTAATTAAATCAAACAATGACAATTTGGCATAAAGAACGGTAAATCACCAAAACTCGATATATATTATTATGATGCGAGTTGAATTAAAATTGGTGGATTAGTGTGGATTTGTTTGGGTAAATCATGCTACCGACATTACCATATGATTTTAAAAAAATTAAATAGTCAACAAAAAATGTAAGTTATTTTTAGATTGCCGGTACAAAGTTGGCATTTATCTCTTACAACTAAGAGATGAATCATTAATTTAATTAAAATATAAAATGTACATTATAAGATATAAATAAATCTAATAATACCAGTTTTTATTGCCGAATCCGAGATGCAGCGATCCCATTTTTGTCCAAGAACATCTTCTGACCTTACTTGTTCAGCCATTTTGTCGAAATTTTGAAAGTCACAATATAAAACGAAACGGAATCTATTAATGATTTTTAAAAATGTGGAATGTTTCGTAAGATCTCTTTGTACATATTACATTATTTGCTCTCCAAAGAAAAGCACACTGGAATCTGAACCTACAGCCCAATTTAGCAATATTCTTTATTATTCAATTTCGGCTACTAAAATTTCGGAAGATCTAAAATGCAGTTGCCTCCCTTCAGCTGAACTCAAAGTCGATTTCTTTCTTGAGTAAATTTTCTTCCCTAGATCCTGCCATCTTTATAAAAATTCAAAACCAACATTTGATTTTCTTTTAAACCCCACTTTCTTAGACCTGTTTATAAATTCATTAAATCAACCATTCACCTATTAGCATATGAAAGAAAACTCATACCAACATCAATCCGTACGTTTTTGCCAAAACAGTGGCTACCAGGAATTATTCATTAAATTTGCACGCCAATTTGTGATTTTCTATTCTTCGGACTCTTGAAAAATAAATAGAGACGTGGATTATGTGGAAGGTGATTTCTTTAAAATTACAAACCTTAAAACTTTAGAACTATTAGCTTTTGAACAAAGCAAAAAAAAAAAAAAAATGTTTGGAATTCAGTTTTTATTATTTACCCAATCGGGGCATAACGATATGACGTTAAACCCCATTTCATTTCATTTACTTTTGGAAAATTCGTTCTATCGAAGAAATATTAAGAAAATTTTCCCGAAGAAGAGAAAATCGAATTGGTGTGACCTGAGGATGGGAATATCCAGGGCAGAGGCTAAATCCAGGTAGGCTACTTTTATTATACTTTCATAAAATATGGACAACTGTGTAGCCTTAACCTCGTTTAAACAATATTGTATTCAATATAATTACAAATAATCATACGCAACTATATATATACAATCTAACTAGGATACGACAAAAAACCAAAAGGCGTATGAATGTCGCTTCCTGATACGGCGTTATATTTAGGCACAGAAGGAATGATTTAACACCTGAAGTTCCGGGATGCAAAAGGATGTCAATTGAAGGCACATTATAGAAGGAATGATTTTAAACAACAGAGGCTAAACCTAGTATCTGCGAGTACCAGTTAAAGTAGCTAAGTCTCTAACTCAATATCATCCAAAATCTTCGACATTGAAAAAACGATTTATTTGTCGGTTTAAAGGGCCAATCCCGATAATTTTTTGGAGAATAAAACTACTTAATTTTGTGTTAAAATGCCTTAAAACCATCTACCTACGGGCCGAGCAAGTAACTCAGTATTTGTGATACGTTTGCAAACAACTTAAATCCGTCAGTCTTCATCTGGAAATGGAGACCGGTGTCTCAAACTGTATTATACGGTGTCTGGATAAAACCAGACCTTTTTGGGTTTTTTTTATAAAAATAATGTGTAGGTGAAATTTACCGTCCGTGATCAAGTACAGCACATGGGTCATTCATTGTATAGACCTCTCAAAAAACGGGAATCGATTATCAGGTCACCCAACGAAGAAATTGACCAGAAAATCTTAAAAGGGTTACGTGTCCGGATAAACAGTTTTGACGTTCACGTCCAAACGACTCAATATTTTGAGCTGAAATTTTAAGAAAAGGTCAATACATCATTCCTTTCAGGATAGTTACTTTAAATCAACAATAATGTTGTGATCTTACCGGGAAAAGATGGCCTTCTGATATCCAATATTTAAGACAAAATAAACATTTTACAATTGGTACACGAATCGTGTACATAATGCGTTTCAGCGCTATGTGTAATAAGGGAATCGAAAAACGAGGCTAGGATTCCACAAGTCATGTCAAACGGTGACGCTATATTCTTATCTGGAGAGCATGCCCAATAAATACTATTGGCGTAGACTGGAATAACCAGAAGCTAGAGATTGAAATTCGATTGAGAACACTGGCGTATCTCGCCGAACCTAACTGATTAGAAATTACAGTAAAAACAGAAACGATTGAATGTAAATCAATTTATATACATTCATATTACATTATTGTATGCGTTGCGACCCATTTGTGTCAATTTCTAGGTCCCAAATATAAGCGAATTATATTTAATTATATAATAAGTAGCTACCTTCCTTCCCGAGTGAACTGAGAATGAGTCTGTGAGTATATGGTAGGCTCAGGGACCCGTACATTTTTTATGTTTTCATGCAGTTCGAGTGCAATGGTGTAGGACGGAGGGTCTGGCAAGGGGCAGCGTCTAGTCGCAGCGTCCTGTCGCTCAGATGGGACCAAAACCGAGATTCTGCGTACACGTTCGCGTGGAGGTAAAAGAACCATCGGTGGCGGGGCCGTCGGTGGCGTACGTATACCTGGTTAAATCCCAAGTGATTTCAGATTATAACAAGGTTGGCTACTGATATTATTTCAACACAAGGCAATGTTCTGATACTGTGAAATGAAAGGGAAGTATGGTATTTTTTTATAGACGTGGTATTTTTCGGTACGGCAGATGGAATTTTGTTGCTGTCTCCGTTATGGAACTGATACGTAGGCGCAGGCTAGACTTGTTTACACCAAGACAAAACAGTTACACCCACCCTAGCTACGTCTCAAATGAATCAGTTATTGTTTTGATTTAAACCCCATCCGTGGTATTTCAGTTCATTTTAAACTTTCAATAAATGCTTTATTTTTAAACAAAATCGTGATAATTTTGAAAAATTAAATCATATTTTAAATGTGATTTTAACTTTGTTACTATTTTGTAAAATCTAATTTAAAGTAAAAGAAATATCCAATTTAGATTCCGTTCTTTTGAACATGTGATTTACGGGACAAAATTACAAAATATCTCATTTATTTCTAAGCATCGTTCGTATTTCCCGATTGCGTTGAGTGAGTAATGAGTATACACGCATCAATAGACCTGTAGACGAAATATCCTCGGCACGCGAGATATCCACCAATCAAACAGGGAATAAACACGCGAGCCTCAGTTTCACCTGAACAATGTATCGTCTGCAAGTCTTGTTAATCCCTTCTGGAAGGTTGAAGAAGGCAGTAATAATATGTTACTTATGAAATCAGGAACTATATACAGCTTTTAGCACCAGGATTATCACAATTATATAGTTCAGATATGGAGGATTCATTTATACAAAGTTTTGTTATTCAGAAATAATAATCATGGGTCAGTTTTGGACGAGAATATTCAAACACAGAGATGTAAGAATACTGCTGCTAGGTAGGTAAACATTTGGATTATCCAGACTTTTCGCCCATAGAGAGGTATCGAAAAAAGAAAGACTAAATAACCGAGAAGGATTTTTACCGTTACACGCACGAAATATACGAGCATACACGCGTGCTTTTCCCATTATGACTGACTACATCGTCAGACCTTTGTTTACTAGATAAGATGCGATCAGATGATGTTACTGTTGAGTCTGACAAAACTATGATGAATTGCATCCATGTTCAATAATTACTCATATTATATACATTTACATACACATTAAATGTCAACCGCCAGAAGAGACCGAAACATAAATTTGAATACCGCAGATGAAATAAAAGGTTATCATGACTAATCAAACTAAACTTTTATGAATATTTTATGATTCAAATATCATCTGGTTAATTTTAGAAGGATGTTGATGAAATTGTTAATTGCTAAACCACTTTCAGAGAAATTTAACTGAATTATTCATTGGTAATTGTTGACAACTTCCTGTAGCCCATTGCAGTTAACTATTTGTTGTTAGGGCTGACACACAAAATATTTGAGAGCTATTAAAGTACTGAATAGATGAAATAGATTGTGCCATTTCATATAAGGGTGTAACAACCTTTAAAAAAAATATATATATATATATATAACACAATTTAAAAGTCATAAATTCAAACTGACACCAAATTTTGAATAAAATGACACATAAAATATGAGGGCATACAGAGACTGTGATTTTGGAACTAACATATGTCATTTATGATGTATGCATACATGAATATTCAGTAAGATCCAGTATGACCTGCACAAAGATTTGCGTGTCCAGAGGAGGGTTCCAGGTGGTCTGCCCCCCCACTCCCGCTGAGCAGGAAATAATTTTTGTCTCCTACATTCAAAGAACAACTCCTGATGTTATCAAATTCATGCGTGGTTGTCTCCACTTTGGACCCCCCGCTGCTCAAAAACTGAGAGAGGGTTTAATGTCCACTCGACACAACCTAGCTATGTCATTTTATTTCAATATTTCACTTGCGCATAGGAGTCTTTAGCACTAGTAGTGAAAGGAAACCAGAAGACCTGTAGAAAAACCACTAGATTGGACAAGCGATCCTATTCCTTGTCACATAGTACAAGCCTTTAACTAAAAACAAAAACCAGCCACTGGTTTCCTAGATTTATGTTCATGGGAACCAGACCCCTAAATCATGTGATACTGTAAAAAAAAATCAGGAATCGAAACATCAGGTCTGGTCCTTTTGTTTTGTACAGGCCAGGAACTGGATCAGGTTCCATATCTACTGTATCTCAGTTATTTAATTGTGGACATGGTCTTCAGTAGTGAGAGGAAATCCAAAATAATACAGAAACATTTTTCAATTATAAAAGAGATATGAGTTAACATAAATAAACCGATTATAAAGTTGATGATTTCCATGAGAGAAATAACATGGATTTAATGGACACATTAGATAATTATAGTTCTTTTTGGTGCTACACATAAGTTTTTATGATGTCTTTATTTCACTAATTAATGATGCAAAGGGCTTTTTAGCACAAGGCTGAAACTGGAGAACTTGGTTATTTTGGGCAATCTAATTCTTTGTCAGTGACAGTGATGGTCAGAACCGGCATATATACATTGTACATATCCAATTGTAAGTTGAATGTTATGATCATATGGTTCTGCTTGAAGAAGAAGGCCTTTAGCCAAAACAATCTATGGGAGATCATTATACATGGATTTATGATTTTATGATGTATTTATTGATCTGGCTGTCTGGCATGTTTTGATAATAAATTTGCTAATGTATTCCGCCCATAAGAAATAGATGTTTTATGGCATCAAAATGTCTTCCAATTAGCAGAATCAGAACTTAAGATAATGAAACTACCATAATAAGTGTGGTTTAAGCCATCTCCCAACAGTTTTATAGCCAATCTAATTAAAATTATATTTCATTTTTATGGTTCTTAAATCCTGCACTATACAATCTAACATAATTTTTAGAACGGATCAAATTACTGAATTAGGGTGAGCATCCAGTAAAAAAATATAATTAAAAAAAAATCAATCATCTATATCTAGAATATAGTTGCATGTGCAACTTAAAGTTCAAGAACTACTTACTGTAAGATTGCCTTTAACTACAAGCATTATGTCATGTCCAGTATCTACTGTAAGATTGCCTTTAAAATATAACTACATTATGTCATGTCCCAAGAACTACTAAGATTGCCATTGAAATGTAACTACAAGTATTTATGAAAAGTTTTACTTTATCTTCAACTATTTAAGCAGACCAATGAATCCCAATTATCTTCACTGTAGAATATTAATTTGAAAGGAGAATTCTTATTATGTACAGGTACTCTGAGATACAATAATGACCATGGGGGTATAGAGGTTTGAATTTTTAAAGACACTTATTTCCCCCCAAAAAGTAACCCATCCCAATGGCAATGGGTTACAATGTATGTGTACAATATATAATGACTGGTAATTTTAATCATAAAAAATATTCTTGACTGGTAATTTTTATCATAAATATTCTTGATATACAGTATATGTAATATTTATAAATAGGTTATTACCTACATCTTCCTGGTACAACACAGACTACTTGTATGCAATGCAATGTAAATATTGACATGAGAGTGGTTCAATTGACTCTCGAATACCTGAGAAAATTGTACTATAACAATACAATTTCCTGGTGTGAAACCCAGTTTATGATATACCATGCTAACTGATGTTTATGGATGTGTTTTTCTATCATTAATTTAACCCTTATCATAAACTAGCTATATGAATTCATGTTATGGATTAATGTAACAATTTTCTCTTTTTCTTTCCTGACCTTTCCATGGCAATTTCTTTTGACTTTTTGGTCAGGAGTCAAAGAAGAGTGTTTGAATTAAAATTTGATGCCAGATTTTGGTGAATATTCATGATTTTGAAATAAAGGGTCAGGAGGTCAACTGGTATGCATATATGAAAATAAGGTCACAACCGTGATTCTCTGACTAAATGATGGAGAAAAGTCTTGTATTTTGTGTTTGAAATCTGACTATCTTGAGAAGGGGGAAACATCAAAGGGCTTGCACAAAATCCATAAGGGTGGTGATAGATGCCCTTGTCATCATTTTGTTATGTTTTTATTTTAAATAGCTATTTGATGAGTTCAAGTAAAGTGTTCGATTCCGTGGTGATATGTGAGTAGGGTCGCCTGTCCAACCTCGTGGATTTTCTCCGGGTCCTCTGGTTTCCTCCCATTGCTAAACACTGCTACGCGCAATTATTGAAATAAAATTAAACTATATGTTAGTTCCGAAATGACCTAGTTTGTGTCGAGTGAACGTTAAACCCTCTCTTTCTCTCTCTACATATCACTACTATCTAATACTGTTTTAAAATTTAACAGTTTTTGTATGTTACAGTATTGTTATTTATGTGTTGGCACACCAATACACCCATTGGTTATTACCCAGGTACATCTTCCTATTGTTAACAATTAACTATAGGCTATGGTACATTTACATGCCTAACACAATAACATTGAATCTTGTAGTTAAGGTGTAAACTTGTTAAAATATAATCCAACATGTAGGATGCACCGTGGCACTTCCATACATACATGCTGTGGGATATACACTTGCCAATAAATTATAGGTTGTACACACAGTACATATTACCTGGGAAGCTGTGACGTATTGTATATTATTATTATATGAATGAATGTATGGTGGAAACCTAAGATTTTTTTGGTTCTTGTTAACAGTTTTTTTCTTGGCTAAACTTGCCATGTTTTCACATAAGGAAGTACTGTATTGTTTTGGGTGTTGTATTTTAATATTTACAATGTAGGCCTACATGTCATGTCAGGTACAATGTACATGTAATTATAAACAATAGCTGTCTAGTAAATTAGGTGTAGATATTTTTGGTTACAGGAAATTACTTAAATTATTCTAAATTGGAGGGTTGGGTGATGTACATGTATGTTTTAGATCGTCTGTAATCAATGCAAGTGCAGTTTACATGCCATGTGTGTAAAGACCCTGTTTATGACAAGAATGTGGATCACTTACTTAACTCAATGGGTTTTCTATGGGTTCTTCTCAAATGCCTAGTTCGTGTTGAGTGGGAACCACAGTGGCTCAGTGAGTAAGGCTTTGGCTCGCTATACCTGGAGGTCCCGGGTTTGATCTCAGTACTGGCTGAGAAAGTTGTTTAAGGTTTTACGGTGTGGATTCGCCTTGTCAGTGGTGCAGAATGGAGGGGGGTCAAGGAATAGCGTCAAGTTGTTTGGATGCATCGAAAAACCGAGGTAACTTGTACACATTGGCACATTGGCATGCACGTAAGAGAACCCTTGACAGTTGGAATTCGAAATAAGCGTAGGCCATAGCGCCGGTGTCTGGACAAAATTTCACTTGTAGCACACTGCATGGCATATGCACGTCTTCATTAGTCAGAATGGAGCAGAGAAGTAGTATGTTATTAAAGCTCATTTCATTTCTATCTCTTATCAAAATTGTATACCGAATACAGCTCTTTGTATTTATGAACAGTATTATTAGTGTAGTTTCATTATTCATGAGTGTAATTTTCTGTAGAATATGAAAATACAGCGTGGAATATGAGTAAACCTCTGCTTTATATAACATCATACATGTACATGTATATTATGTAATATAAGCCATGAGATATGAGCTCTATCAGACTAAACTCAGGTTCACTGCTAAAAACATCTGTTTATTGCAGATAACATAAACATTTTTACAGGAAAGGGGAAAGGAAAATTACCCTAAATTTGATTGTGGTATGGTCTTGTCTTTCTACCTTGTAATCAGAAAAAATTCTGAATAATTAAGTTCTTATGTACATGTTCCAGTCAATAATTATGATTTTGAAAACAGAAAGTTAGATACATGTACTAATAAAACAATATTATTCTTACTGGTAAATCAGATGATATATGTGGGCCTAGTCAATTAGAAACCCCATCTATGTT